TCCAAGCTTTTTTTTAACTGGGGAGCTCCATTGAACAGTGTCCACCATGGGTGACCAGTCTCGCATTTGACACATCAGTGTCACAGTGTTCAGCTTCACAGCAACCACCAGTTACCTCTGTGCAGCAAATCGACAGACGACTGCTATACCACCTAGAAGAATGTTTGACCAAAAACACTTAAAGACAGGCCTGAAGGCCATGGATTAGTCACCCACCTTTGGCTTGGGAGCATCTCTTTCTATCCACTAGGCCAACTGATCTCTCTCTGTGCTGTTGTTGTTGTTAAGTGCCATCGAGGCGCAGGTGACTCAAAGCAATCCTATGAATGAAAGACCTGGACACTTGTCTAGCTTTCATCCTTTCTCCATGTCCATAGGGTCTAAATGTAGCCTGCAAAAATTATCTATCCCCCCATTAGGGCTGCAGACACATTGTTTGGTGTGGTCTTACTTCACAGGATGCCAGTTACTCCATCCGAATGACTAGCAAGCTATTCGATTCACTTGGTGGGTCATGAACAGCTCACATACGCATTGTCTCAGCCAGTCATGTCACGGAAGTTACAAGATTGACAAGAACCATATGAAGCAGTTCACTGGACCGCAGCAGGCACCATCTAGGTCTTTCGACCTCAGAGCAGATAAGACCGTGGCTCACATGGGCTGCAAGCCTTGTCAACTAGTTTGTCATTTGAGTCTTAAGTCTGCTTCTTTTCGTTCTTGTCCAGTTGAGGAAGGAGCAATAGCTGTATCTGAGACAGTCAAGCACAAACCTGGACACTACACAACAAACAAGGAAGCAGCACGTAAACTTTATGAACTATCTGACATCAGTTGATTCAGATGTCCCATGAGACTGATCCTAATCCTCCAAGTACAGAAATCGAATCCTGTAAAATGGTTGGCGAAGTCCAGCAAGCATGTGTAACTGTATCTCTATGTGCTTTATTGTTGTTGTTATTATGTGTCATCAAGTAGAAACCAACTCATAGCTGACCCTCCGGTGGGTTTTCATAGACTGTGAAGCACACAGGAGAAGACTGCCCATCTTTCTCTCAAGGAGCAGTTGGTGGATTTGAACCATGTATCTTGGGGTTGCCAGCTTAATTCCTTATTACCAGAGCGCCCCTGTAAGCTTTACTAGATGTATGAATATATTCACACATAGTCACACAGGTGCATAGATATATGCAAAGGCCAGAAACCAACAGAGTGCCACTCAGAATCCACTGTAAGTGACAGTACACAGGACTAACTGGCCCACAGGTTTGCTGAGGCTGTGCTCTTTACAGGAACAGCCTGAACCTTCTTTCTTCCCATGAACCAGCTGGTGGATTTGAACCATTGAGCATTCAGTCATGTGCTCACCCACTGCACCACCAGAACTCCTTAACATGAAGCCGGCTGCCATGAGCTCTTGTGCTGGCATCCCAGCCTCCAGGAACTGCCCCTCCCTGAATTCTCCACACTTCAGCAACACCAGCCCTCCTCCACAGGCCTGGTCACAGTTCCCCAGGGCCCTGGCCACGTGCAAACTCCTGGGTGTGCCCTAAAAGGATTTGGTAACATGATTCTTCCTCTACAACCAGTTCCACCCCTCCAAAACAAAGTATTTACAAGTCCATTTATGAGCTGTTTATAGGAGACACACTTTCTGTACAAAGACTCCCATGTAACTCAGAGTGACCTTATGGGGCAAATATTTCCTGTGCTTTAAAATATTGCATATGCATGTCTCTGGGGTTTTTACCTACTGGAAAAAGAAGTGTTAATTCTTTTTGTCCAGCGTCTCACACAAAAATCTCAGGTCCTTGGGGATGAGAGCTGACGGTTACAGAGCTTGTGTACGGTACAGAGGTGCTAGCCACATGAGACACTCACAAAGTCACCCCGGAACCACCAGCTTATAGGAAATCAGTTGCTGTTGTGTCACCCTGCACATAGGACAACCCGAGGGCATCTGAGCAGAGATGGACTCTACACACTTGCCAGTGGCTGATGGTTTTGAAGTAGATCACCAGACTTTTCTTCTAAGAAATCTGGGTAGATTTGAACTTCTAACCTTTTGTTTGGTATCTTCGTTGTCTGCCAGAGGGAATGTTTACTTAAAATAAACCTAAGAGTTAAAAAAAATCTAATGGGAAAACTTAGGGCGCTCTGGTGTCCAAGAGGCAAGAAGCTGCACTGCAGTCCCAAAGGTACATGGCTTGAATCCACCAGCTACTTTGCAAGTGAAAGATGGGTAATCTCCTTCCACACAATTATTAACTGCTTCTGAAAACCCACTGGAGGGTCAGCTATAGGTTGGTTCTGACTCAGTAGTACATAACAGCAACGTGAAAACTTACTGTTAAGGACCTCTCCAAAATTCTAAGGAGCAATGTTGTCAATGTAAGAATAAGGTGCACCTGACACAGTCCATGGTCTTTTCAGTGACTTGCTATGCATCAGAAAGTTGGACAGTGAAAAAGGATGATAGAAGAATTGATGTCTTTGAGCTGTGGTGTTAGAGAAGAATAAAATAATGAATATCTCGTGGGCTGATAAAAGAACAAACAAGCATGTCTTGAGAGAGTGCAACCAAGGTGCTCCTTGGAAGCAAGGATAGTAAAGCTTCATCTCAGACTTTGATTATGTTTTTAGGAGGGTGCAGTCCTCAGAAGAGAGCAGGGAAACACTGCAGAGATCAAAACCAGGAAGGGAGTGTGTCAGGGATGTGTCCTGTCTCTACACCTATTCAATCTATATGCAGAACAGATAATGCGGGAGGCTGGGCTTTATGAGGAGAATGTGGCATCAGGATTGGAGGAAGACTTATCAACAGCCTGTGTTATGTGCATGACACAACCCTGCTTGCTGAAACTGAGAAGGACCTGAAGTGCTTGTTGCAGAACATCAAGGACTGAAGCCTTCAATATGGATTGAAACTCAACATCAAGAAAACAAAGATTCTCACCACTGGGCCAATTGCCAGCAACATGATGGATGTTGAAGAGACTGAGGTTATTAACAGTTATAGCTGGCTCAGCTCCACAAGCAACACTTCTGGCACTAGCAGTCGGGAAATCAAAAGGCAAATTGCATTAGGTAAATCTGCTGTCAGGGACCTCTCCAGAGTACTGAGAAGCAATGATGTCAGTCTAGACCCAGCTCATGGTCTTTGCAATTACTTGCCATGCATCAGAGAGCTGGACAATGACTAAGAATGACAAAAGAAGAATTAATGCCTTTGAGTTGTGGCACAGGACAAGAGTCTTGAACATACCATGGACCACCAAGAAAACTAATAGATCTGTCTTGGACAGGGTGAAACCAAGTTTTTTCTTGGAGGCTAAGATTTTGAGGCTCCTTCTCACACACTTTGGGTATGCGGCCAAGAGGGACCAGTCCTTGGAGAAGGACATCATGCTCAGAAGGGTGGAGAGACAGCACAGGAGGGGGAGACCCCGGATGAGATGGATTGAGACAGTGGGGGTAGGTGTGTCACAGTCAGTGAGACCGGCTCAGGGCAGGGCAGGTTTTGGAGCTGTGGTACATAGGGTCACTATGAGTCTTAGGTTACTCAAAGGCACATAATAGTCTAATAACAGACCTTGGAAGGGGAAATCATGCTTGGAAAGATGGAGGGTCAGAGCAAGAGAGGAAGACCCTCAACACAACAGACTGACACACTGACTCTAACAATGGGCTCAAATAAATCAGAGGTGATGTGGCCGGCACAGCACAGGACAGGGCACTGAGCTCATGGGGTTGTTATGGGTCGTAGTCGACTGGGTGACACCTGACAACAAGAGTTTGTGGAAACCTTGTGTTGAGTTCATCTTTCATGCCCACTTCGTGATCCTGTGTCCTACTGCAATCATTCTCACATCACAAACGTTCTCATCACACTAGTGCATGCTTGACAGACTACAGTATGCTGCAGACAAGGGGGTTTCTGGGAATCTATTACAATTGTGGCTTAACCACAGCAACCTGGAATCGAATGTGGCAGCATCTCCGAGGTCTGCCTGTATTAAGAATACAAGCTATCCTCCACTGACCACATGCTGTGTGCTGGGGTGCCTCTTCCACATTTTTATTTTCATTTTTTTCAAAGTATTGTTTGCTTGTAGCTTCTGATACAATGTAGCCTTAATGGTGCCCTTGGTAGATTATAATGATAATAATAAAACAAAAATCCCAACACTGCATTTCATTTATATCTCTGCTCAGCACAGCAGCTTCCCAGAGCACCTGACAATGGATGAAAATCTGACACAGCCTTGCGTCCCAGAGAATGGACGAACCTCGGAGAACATAACCTTGACATCTTTAAACTCTGCACCTGAGAGCTTGTTTGGAGGGTCTAGCAGGGGAGTGCAGCCTTGCATATACCCTTGACCGAAGGACGGTCCTCCTCCTATCGAGGAAGGCTGTCCTCTTCCACCAAGCATCCAGCTTTGGGAGGGACACACGCAGAGCGGTGAGGGAGGGAGGGGCCATGCGCCTAGCCAGCCAGATCAGTCCATCAACCCTGGTGACCACCGGGGCCAGAGAGGTCACAGCCCGATCACCCTCACACCCAAACCCCTGCACCTGAAATCTTGTTTAAACTTAGAGTTTAGATGAATTAGTCAGCAGCACCAGCCTGGGGCATTGTGCTCTTTTAAAGGACTCTGCCTATGGGACCTGAGTGACCAACACAAGAGGAAAGATCGACAGGACACTCGGTCAGAGAAAGGAGAAGGAGGTGAGAAGGGGGCACAGCCTGCAGGCCACGGTCAGTGCAGCTCAATGATCTTGCAGAACCTGCCAGCTCAGCACAGTCCTCCCGTGTGTGTGTGCGTGCGTGTGTGTGTGTGTGTGTGTGTGTGTGTGTTTTCAAAGCATCACTGTCTCCCAGCACCAGCTGCTGTTCTGTTCCAGCTGTGGCTTTCATTCCAGGAAACCAGCATGAGTGCAGCAGCCCCTGTTAACCCCCCCCCCCCGTCACAGGGACCACCCCTCTGAGGACTCACCTGCCACCTGCACGATGCCATGTCTGGCCACGTCATAGAATGGGTGGTCCAGGTTGAGCGACAGGTCCTCCGCAGTCCTGGGTGTTGGCAATGGCTGTCTCGTGGCTCCCAGCCTGGCTGCCTCCTCCTCATCTTTCTGCAGCTCTGCAGGAGAGGAGGGTATAAGGGAAAAGTTGTGCTCCCCGTAAGAGGGGAGAGGAGCCCAGCTGGGGACTTCAGAAGGACAGTGTGATGGTTAAATATATGTGTTAACTTGCCTGTGCCATGGCTCCCCGGAGTCCAGTCAAACACCAGAATATTCCAACAGCTAGTTGCTATAGCTAGCTGCTATTAGAGAATATAATGCAACTTTCCAGAAAGTAAGTAAATGCTACACAGTATAATCATCTTGCATAATGTAATGAAACACAGAACAATCCTTTCTGCAACGTAAAGTAATGCAATGCAATGCAATGCAATCACTTTCTATAGTGTAATCTAACATCAATTTGCATCATGTAATGCAATAGTGTAATTACTTTCCATAATGTAATATAATTATCCTCCATAATGTAATGTAATAAAATAAAATATAATCCCCTTCAGTAATATAATTATCTGTTGCCAGGGACCTCTCCAGAATACTGAAGAGCAAAGATATTAGTCTAGAGGCTAGACTGATCAGGTGTGCCTGATCCAAGCCATGGTCTTTGCAGTTTGCTATGAATCAGAGAGCTGGACAATGACTAAGGATGATAGAAGAAAAATCAACACCTTTGAGTTGCCATGTTGGTGAAGAGTAGTGAATAGACCATGGCCTGCTAAGAAAAGAAGTAAGTTCATCCTGGAAGTGAACAAAGTTTCTCCTTGGAGGCAAGGAATTTGAGCTTCATCTGACATACTTTGGGTATGTTGCAAGGAGGGACCGGTCCTTGGAGAGGGACATCATGCTTGGAAGAGTGGAAGGACAGCGAAAAGAGAAAGACCCTGGATGAGACGAATTGACTTAGTGACTAGGGTAATGGGGGTAGATGTATCAGAGACAATGAAATTGGCTCAAGATAGAGCAGGGTTCAAGGCTATTGTACATAAGGTTGCTATGAGCTGCAAGCAACTCAAAGGCACATAACAACAATAACAACAGCATGATATAATGTAATAGAATGTGATCATCTTCCACAATGTAACCCAATTACCTTCCATAAAACAATGTAGTCACTTTCCCTGATGTAATACAATGTAATGACTTTCTCTACTACCTAATGCAATGCAATCAGCTTAAAAAAAAAAGAAAGAAAAAGAGAAAAGGCTTTCCTTAGGGTACGTCTCCCTCTAGACTATAGGTTAATATTTTGGCAGAACTCTTTCCTTCTCCCCATGACTCACTCTTTCTGTTCCCTGACTGACACATCTTGAAATAGAAGACTGTAGAAGTTTCCATTTGCAACCTGACTTGTGAATCTGGGACATACCAGCCCCCCAATCACATGAACTATCTCTAAGTAAATCTCTTTAGCTGTGTGTCTCACTGCTTCGGTTTCTCTGGAGAGTCTTAAACTTCTGTCTTAGATAGACCTTCTCTGCAATGCACCCGCTGTGTGCCTAAGCAGAGGAGTGGTACCATCAAAATGGACACTGCCACCTGCAGTTCAGGAGAGGACACTAAGGTCCATGGAAGGGGAATGACTTGTCTAAGGACACAGAGCCAGATGGTGGATCTGAACTTGATTCCCCAGCTGCAAATTCCCTTCAAGCCCTGCCAGAAGGTGCTGCCATCAAAATCAGACAGGACAACCAAGCCTCAGGGACAAAGAGGGGGCTGGGTGCACGCAGGGAGGAGGGCTGTCCCCAAGGTGTGATTTTAGTATGAGACATTTTCATGCACAAAGCCAGGTTCCTTTTAGAAGCACTTTGAACTAGAGAAAGAATGGAGACTTCAAATGCCAGGTTGGAGTGGACCCTCATTCCCAGACTTGTTGCTCTAGAACCAGGACCAGCTTCATTAGGACTGACGCTGGGAGGGGTTGTTATAAACAAAATTGTGTCCCCAGAAAGAGGGAAGAGAGGGGTGCTCACCAATCTTAGCCAGCTGCTCGAAGTCCAGGCCAGACATGCTCCCCTGGTGGCCGCGTGGCCTGTGCTCACACCCTGGCCCAGCTCCTCTTTCCAGTCTGTGCATTTGTGTGTGTGGCAAGGGCAGTTGTTACAGGACCTGAAAGAAAGAACATGGAGCATTACACACGCACACACACACACACACACACACACACACACACACACACACACGGGCTTGAGAAGTAATCGGGTGCTCTCAAGTGATTGGAGACCCCACCCCCACTGGGGGGAATGGTATCTTTTCTCAGTCTGAACCCCCTACTCCTCTCCTACATCTCCTCAGCCCTCCCAGGCCAGCTCTTTACCGGAGTTCGCCCCCTCCTCTCTCCCACAGCAGTTTGGGTGTTTGAACAGCCTTTGCTGAGAAGCCAAACACTTTATCCACTGTGACACCAGATCACCCACTTCTCCCTCTTGAAGCCCTACTTCTTTTTTTTTCTATATTTTATTAATTTTCATAAACATTTACAGAGATTTTGGGTTTCCATTCATTCATTGTTGCACTATTCTCTCTACCCTCCTCCCAGTTTGTTCTTGTCCAAATGCCACAGTGCTTGTCAAAGCCAGTTCTGATTAATCTTCTTTGTCAGTGTGTCCTTTGCCATTCCCTATCACTCCTCCCTGAAAGAGACTTCTTCACCCTGAGTCATAAGGAAAAGGGGATGGCGTATTCTCTTAGCTACTTCCTGCTGAAAAGGGACGCTGTGGGTTTCAGGGTGAAGATCTTCTCTCACTACTCTAAAGGGCCCCTTTGGCAGTAGGAAACACATAGACTATTATGGAGATTGATTTTGGAATTTAGATGCACTCTTATTGATTGTGCTTGGCCGTACATGCTCATATCCTTGAAGATGTATCATGGGGGTGTTGCAACCTAGAAGACACAAATTTGACTAACAAGTTATAAGTACATGAGTCCAAAAATTATGGAAAAGTAAAAGAAAAGATTCTTTCATTGTTTTACAAACCCTCCCCCAGGTCCCCTCCATCATGTAGCCCTCGCTCTAGTCTCCTGTGATGACAGAAATACCTAGTTATATATCTCTTTTAAACAGTTTTCTCCCTCCTCTGTTTCAGTGCAGTATACATTATTGAACCCATCTTACTCAGTCTCTCCCCAACCCCAAGGACAGTCCCATTCTACAACAGTGGCATCATGTAATATTTGTCCTTTTGTGACTGAAGCCCTACTTCTGACTGATGGTATCACCAAATCACATGGAAGACCTGCAGACACCAATTTCCCTGCCCTGGTCCTCAAGGCCCAGGGCCTTCCCTCCCTGGACAAGCCTGTCTTTCCAACAGTCCCCTGCCTGCCCTGTTCCTCCTCAGCCCCCGCTGTCCACCAGAGGCCCAGGGTGCGCAAGCTGAGAGGTACTCAGAGATGAGAAGGGAGTAAAATACAGGTCAGGTGACCCTGGAGGACATTCTCAATGAAATAGCTCAGTCACAAAAGGACAAATACTGCATAACATCACTCTTTTTATAAGACTGACATGGAGGTTGGGGTAAACTAAGAAAAGAGAGAATAAGTAATGTACACTGAATTGAAACAGATGAGAGAAACAACTATTTAAAAGGAACATATGATTAGGTATTATTTGCATGGCAACAGTCCAGAGTAAGAGCTGCACAGCAAATTGGACTGGGGGAGCGGAAAACTGTGCTACAATGAGAGAATTTTTTTAAAGAGAAACAAAAACTGGAGGGTGGCAGAGAGGAAAATGTGCAACAATGAGTGAATGAAAATCCAAGTTTTTTTTGTAAACTTTCATTGAAGTATTAATAAAAAAATTTAAATTTAAAAACAACAAAAAAATATGGGTCAGACTGTTGAGGGGCAGGGAGCTGCAAAGACCACACACAGGGGTGGGGTGGGGGGCTGCTCCCAACATCCACAGGCACAGCCCCCCAAGCCTGCCTGCCCACACGCTGCCCAAGAAGATAGTGGCACCAGGCACAGGCTGATCGAGAACCCACAGCGGCAGCTCCCAGTGAGGAGCTCCAGGCCTGGGACACAGTGGGCTGTTCGTGTCCACCAGCATTCCCTCCCCCTCCCAGGAGCACAGCTCCTTTCACTCTCACATTATGGTCGCGCGCACACACCCACACCACCGTGTTACACATCTCTACGCCGTTCCCACAGGGCTACTGCACTAGGCACACTCCTCAACCCATTGCCAATGGTACGGCTCCACTGAGTTCCCGAGGCTGCCAATCACATGGGAGGACATTGCCTGTCTCTCTGAGGACCCACTGGCAGATTTGAACCACCGGTGAGGCATTGCCTTTGGGTTCACAGTGCAACTCTCTATAGACAAGGCCACCAGAGTCCCCTCGGCAGAGCACAGTATTGTATAAATACAGCTTTGCTGTGCACTGTTGCTGTTAGGGGCTGTCGAGTATGACTACTAGAGACCCTATGAACAAGTACTCTGAACCCTGTCCTACCCCGTGCTGTCCTCACAATCTAAAAAACAAAAAAGTTCATGGGACTTGATAATCGATTTGTCAGTGTCTGGACCCGAACCCTCAGCATCCTCGAGATGAGCTGGTGCATCCTCCGGTCTGTTAAAGGGTCCAGTTTGGGTCATGAGTGATCTGTCACTTGGAGCAAAATGAGTGTGGATTCTCTGATTCATGGTGGCGCTGTGAACAACATGCTGAAAGCTCTACCAACAGAGAATAAAACAAGGGGGTGTCGACACTGTCGTCATTCAAGTGAAGGAGTTCCTTTTCTGAACACTCCAGAGGGGAGTCTGGTACCAGCAAGAGACGCGCCGAGCACCCCAGGACACAGCACCCACAGCCCGCTGACAGGAGCCTTCTGAAGCCACGGTCCTTTCCTCTCTTCCTCTGCTCTGGGCTGTTAGTGCCACCTCTGTGTTGTTCTCACCAGAGCCGCAGACCTCCCTCCGCTCAGCAGCTCGGTTCTAAATGGCAAAACGGCATGACTTCAGCATTAAAGGCATCTCTTGTAAAAGGAGGAAGTCTACCTGAATCCTGTACCACAACTGTCAGTCCTACACTCTGCTCTGCCCACAAGCGTCCCCAGACCTAGGGGACTGGACACACTGGAGCAATGGTGTCTGCTCATGCCCACGTCCAGTGAGAGGCAGGACACCCTGTTACCAACACCCGGAACATGGCCCGGCACTGTCCACTCACACCCATGTCCAGTGAGATCCGAATATCCACTAACACCCAGGCCATCGGAACACAGCTCAGCACTGTCCAGGTGGGAGCAGTGTCCTTGCTGAGATGGGGGCTGATGAGGGGACAGGAACATGGGCACTGAGGAGGCAGTCCTTCGGATGACCATGGTTTCTTTGGGCCTCTCTTACTGGCATGCCCACTCCTGAAGAGGCCTGTAGTGGTGGTGGTTGTTAAGTGCCATCACATTGACTGTAGCTCATAATGACCGTGTGAACATTAAAGAGGACGTGGGCAGACTTTGTTTCCTTAGCCTTCTCAGATACTGCGGGGTTTACAAACTATCAGCATCTGTTTTCTAACAGCATCTGTGTATCTAAATCCAGGAATGGTTTAGAATCAGCCAGGGCTGTATCTGTTCCTCAGACCTATTCAACCTGAGCACTGAGCACATCGAGAGGATGGACTCTCTGAAGAAGGTAGCATCAGGATCTGAGAAAGACTCAGTAGCCTGCGCTGTAACAGACGACACCGCCTTGTCTGCACACAGTGAAGGAGACTTGAAGCCCTGACCTCACAAGATTAAAGACTACAGCCATCAATATGGGTTACACTTCAACATTGAGAAAACAAAACCCCTCCCCACTGGACCAATCGGCCGCATCACCATAGATGGAGAGAAGACTGAGATTCAATGATTCCATTTTACTTGGATCCACAACCAGCACTCATGGTAGCAGCTGTCAGGAATTTTTTAACATGTGTCGCCTTGAGGAACTCAATCACAAATCTGCTCCAAAGTGCTCAACACGCAATGATGTCAGATTGAAGACCGCAGGAGCACCTGGTTCAAGTTGTGATACTTCTCATGCACTGGAAGTTGGACAGTGAACAAGGATGACAGAAGAAGTGATGGCTTTGAATTGTGGAGAACAGTCCTGAGTATCCCGTGAATGGCGATAGAGGCCAGGATAGTGAAACTTCCTATCACAAACTTCGAGCATGTTGGCAGGAGGAGTCATCCTCAGAAAAAGGCACCATGCTGGGAAGGGGGAGGGACCAGAGAAGGCATGGAAGACTCTCACCGAGAGGAGTGACAGTGACTCTGAGAGGGCGCTTGGAGCGGGTGAAGATGGTGCACAGGGCAGTGGTGTCATTGTCAACCTGACACACATAGCACATCTCGATCTTGTCATTCTCAACCACATGAAATAGAGTCACAAGACATCGCACACTAAACAGACTGTCCAATCTAAGCCGCTGCTGTCCGGCTGCTCCCACATCGAGGAGGCCCTGCAGGACAGAGCTGGCCTGCCCACAGGGCTCCCGAGGCTGCGCTGTGGGGGACGACGTTCCCTCTACCCCTCAGGGTGACTGCTGGACAGCGCACACACAGCCGTACAGTCCATCTGAGGAGACGCGCTTGGGCCAGGGGAGGCTGGCCACAGCACGGTTTTATGTGAGTCCTTCCCCCACAGTGCATGTTGTGATGTGCTCTGGCCAGTTTTGGGGTGTCTACCTATGCTGGACTGTTTCAGGGCGGACGACATCTAAGGAGTTAACAACTGCTCCTCTCCTCGTACTAACGTGACCAGCAGGACATGAGGTTTACCGGGCATCGTGTGAGCTCTCGCTGTGCTTTTACAGTGTCCTCCTGGCTGGCTACAGTCTAGACACAACCTCAGTGCACGAGGACATTCTGGTATCAAAGCAGGTGCTGGCTGAGTACGACTAAAGTCAGTGATTCATGTACCTGATGAAGGCTGAGTGCGTACCAATTTGATTATCGATATACTCATCACAATAATGTAATAATAATAATAAAAACAAACACATTGAAGTAGA